AGGATAGGCTTTGCATCTTTGTTTTTGTAATGTTCATGATGTATTTGAGGATAGGGAGTAGCTGTGACTCACACAGAGAACAAAGGATTGGAAGGTTTGGTTATTTAGCTTCTCCTCCTGGTTCTGCCAGTGACTAATTCACGGCTGACCATAAATGTACCATCATTATAAAATAGTACTCTGACAAGTCCTTTTAATGATATGCTAGCATAACTTCCCAGATGATATTACAACATGATTTTTTATCAGTAAAGTACATCAAAGGCCCAACATTCAATTATGATAGGGTGGGTTGTGAAATAAAGCAGTCTGCTGTGTTTAAAATGCACTACGTTGTTTTCACTCTCGAAATGAGAACCCTCTTACATCGTAAACCTGCTGATAGGCTACAGAGGAAGCCTTAAACATAACGTATGTAGCTCCCTGAACCTCGAAATTATTTCCCTATGTAATCTGCATAGTCAGTGATCGATGTTAAAAATATCTTAGACTCTAGATACTGTAGTGCTAGGTACATTAGATTTGCCCGGGCAGTCATACAACAAATCTGCTGTAGTGTGGATAACCGTCATAAAAAATGTGGATATAATGTCTGCTAGAGGGAGACACATTCACATACAGGGGCCTCAGCCATGATGTCCATACTCAAGGAAGGGAGATTTGATGGAGTGCAGAAGTCCACTGAGGGACTAAACCTGAAGTCTGCAAAAATATTTCACTAGATATTTCAGTCTATCATCTAGACAGAAACCCAACTGCATGCTTTTCATCTGCATCACTTTTACATCAGTGCTGACCTATTTAAATTGAAGTAGTGGTAGTTTGTACATGAAAAAAAACAACGAACCACATATTACATATTACTGACTTCAAACGGGAAGGGTCAAATATTGCCTTCGTCCATAACATCTACCGACAGCCGGACAAGGAATACTTTGGAACTGTTTACTGTTTTGTATTGCATTTTTTGTTATTTTCGCAATAAGCAGCATAATGCATTAATAATAGTTTATTAAAGCAGCAAAAGAGAAGCTTGTCCTCCATGTCACTGTGCAAGAAAATATTTCCCTTGGAAAAAAAAAAAACTAATTAGAACACTTTAAAAAATATGGGTCATATGATTATGCAATTAGTGTCTTCAAGCCAGAGAGAGGATAGCTGAGCATAAACACTGGCTTGATAACAGAAAAGTAGTTTGATTTTAAGTAGATGCCTCTGGTACGAGAAAGATTACCCTAGAAAAAAAGTCCTTACAGAAGGATTTAGGTTTACGTTTGTGTCTTCCTGGACATCGTGTTCGAAGGACTACTTTGAGCCCAAGACTTTCCTTTCGTGAAGTCCCAGGGGTGCACTCATTGTACATTTCCTTGGACAATTTGTTCTCTCAAATTCATTACATAATCTTGACATAATTAGCCTTTCTGCTAAATTATTGGGAAAATGGAACTCTAGTTTGTTGGTCACGCGACACTTCCCCGTTTCCTCCCTGTATAGAGGTTGCTTAGGATTAACGCTTCCGTTGGCGCCGCTTAAAACCACCACCTCGTTTCACGGGCTTCAGGCTCAGAAGAACTCCAAACCCAAACCCAAACCAGGAGAGCCTTCATGTCCGAACCCTGCTCGTCCCCCCGCGGGGCCAGTTCGACAGGGCTCCGCCTGGCGGGCAGCTCGGCCGCCACCCT